ATAGAGGCGGCAAGCAACTAAAACGGCAGAAACACAAACCCTAAATCAACACTGACAAGGAAGTAAACAAATATTTATATTTGAATTTTCTCTGAGACAACGTATAAAGTTTAAAAGCTGGGCTCTAAAACAGCTTAAATTAAAAGTTAGGCAAGAAATTGCAACACAATGGACAAAACAAAAAAGATAGTGGTATAATAAAGGCCTAGGACAGTTGTAAGGATAAATACAGTCTGACAGCAAACAAATATAGACTATTTGAAATGTTGTTTTTAAAATGTTATAAAGATCTAAAAACTATTTGCATTCTACCTTTACTATGGGATGTCTGTATGTTTGAAGAAGAAAAGCAAAGGGAATAAAAATGGAAGGAGACACACAGACTTGCAGTGCAGTTAGTATCTTTTGCGGCAACTATACCTAATTGTTCTGGGACAGCACCCGCAAAGTCTGTCATTGTGTGAATGTTCACTACTGGAGTGGAGGAGCAGCAGAGGAGACACAAAAGAAGGTACAGTAGCAGTGGAAACAGTGACTACAGTCAGCAGTGTGTGCCACACTGTGATGCCAGTAACACTTTAGAATGCCTCTTTGGAAAACAAATTAATTAATTTTTTTTTAAACATGAAATTATTATTCTTCATATTAGTTTCATGTTATAGTCAATAACCAAAAATGTAATTGGTTGACTGCGGTCCAAGCCACGGTAAAGTGTTACTACATTGTCAATAAGTATACATACTTGTTTACTTGTTTATTTTGTGAAAAACAGTGTGATAAAAATCAAGCCAGGCTCCTAATGTGTCAAAAATCATTTCTCCCCTGAAGAGATGCTGAGAGCTAGAGTCTCAAAGAACAGCTTTTTGATGAATATTTCATAAAGCCGCCAGTCGGGAGTCAGGCCAGAGTGAGCTGATCTTTGAGCACCATGTTAGCGAGTGCAGCATGACTGTTCTTGAAGGAGGCACTAAATTCACAGCCACATCCACACACAACGTACAGTGGACCTACTGCCCACACAGTCTGTATATAAGAAATGGACATAGCCAGCAGTGGTTGGATTTTCCTAAACTCTTCATGTTTTCTATCACTGGTATCAGGTCTTCTTGAATAGAGGACAATGTCAAGTTTCTAGGTTATATTTCTGTGTGGACTGAATGGAACAAAACAATGGGAGCTGGTTTTTAAAGAATGAACACGGTGTCTGATGGCTGGAGCAACTCATAAAATCCAGATTAGGAGAAAATTTTCTCCAGTTCATTTAAAAAACACTATGATCACATATGTTAATGTCACTATTCAAATGACCAGACTGAAGTGATGCTAATGTAAACTCACCATACTTTAGATACACATTATATATGTGGGTACCGATTAAATGCATGTGGCGCTATGGCACAATGTGATTCAAGTCTTATAGTTTATGGTCACTACTAGAATTATATTTATATATTTTTTTTTTATTTTAATTGTTCATGTACTGGTAATCCTGGTCTATTTATTCGGCAGCCATGGTCTATGATAGACATATTAACATATTATCAAAAATGTAAAAATAATTACAAAATACATCACCTTCTGCTGTAACTATGTGGGGCAATAAACCAAGTGTCTTGGACTAGTTGCCTGAATGACCAGTGATGACCTGCTATTCATTTTCAGGAAGCACACACACAGCGTCAGGACAACGTGCACTACGACACTTCCTTCTCACAACAATGCATGTGGATCCTTTTCAAGGACACAGAGTGAGCCTTCACGCTGCCCTCTGACTAATTAACCATCAAGAGGAAACTCAACCAGACACTCTGTTATGTTAGTGTTGCCTTCACTGACCCAGAAAACTTTAAAGACATGTAAACACAAGAGCCACGGTCCGAGTCTCAGCTGGGTCCTAAAAGTTTCACAGAGAGCTGCACCACTATATCTGCTGTGAAACAATGCGACATTATTATTGCACAGATTTTCTTTGTACAGAGATAGCTGCAAGAGCAAGCAATCAATCATCCCTGGTCTGTTTTGACAGACTCTTTCTATCGTGGCTTAGACTGGAAGAGCTGTGTCCATCTATTATATACGTCCCATGCCTTCAACACACACTCTAGCATATATCCATAGTGTACACAAGCAGAGTACACTCCCCCAAGAAGAGTGCCTCAGCAGCAGCTAAGAGCAGAATTGAGGAGAAGCCAGAGGGATGATGAAGAGATGTTACAAAAACAGCATGGTCACAGACCTGGGAGAGGTGTCGGGCTGAGGGTCTCTCCTGTGAAGAGAGAATGAAGCACACAAATGTTAAACAGTCCATTTCAAGTGTTGAACTACAATATTATCAGCAGTGCCATTAAAACCTGCGAGCATTGTTTCCTTAAGCAGGACAGAAGTGAGATTGTTGGGGGGCGTCAAAAACCCTGGAAGTATTATATATAATTTAATATTTTCACTTCTAACTCTAAATGGTGATTTCTTCTTTCGGTGTCTTGTTGGCATTAGCATCACATGATCTGCTAATCAATGATCAAAACTACCCATCATCGTGTTTTTACCTGAATGATTTGCCCTTCAGATTTCTCAGCAGGTCCAGCTGATTCAGGGGTGGAATTATTCTGAGAAGAGAAAAAAAACACCCCATCACTCCTGCTGACCTTCATTAACTCTGTTTTAAAAGGTTAAAGCTCACCAGTGGCCGCCTCAACTGCTAATTCCATTTAGTTTGTCACTTATCTGGCTTCTGGTCATCACCTTTTCATTTCAAATTACATACGGACTCAAAACAGAATTCCAAACAGAGCAGATGAGAACATTTACTTCTGTTTTCAAACAAACATTTCCAAAAATGTACATTGTACAATGTTTGTCGATGCCTGTCAGCTGTTACTGTTCACACTGACAGTGAAATGTAATATGGGGCGAAGGTTGTTTTTATTGGAAATGCAGTGTAAATCTATCTCAAATGATTCACCTGTACATTGGAATAGCCACAGTCTGCTCATAAAAATCCCATGTGCTCAGCAGGTCTGTGCGGGAAAGGTTGGTAGCATAAAACCTCCAGGCGGCCTAAAGGAAGAGATATTGTGAGAAAAATGCTTTTTGTAATGTGCAAAAAGGAGTTTTGTAAAGTTTTGTGTTTAATCAGATTTTATACCTGGATGAGGCTCGCTGCAGGATTTCGTCTCTTCTCAAAATGCTTTTGCCGGTGCTGCTCTTGGACTTTGAGGGCAAAACCAGAACCCAGGATGCCCTGCAGAGTCACAGAGAGATTTTCAGCGGGGGGCAGCAGTCCATTAAAAGTCACACAAGTTGTCAAATGAGGTGGAAACACAAGTGTCTGTATGCAGGTGAATGTTGATTCTTTTTTCCGTTTCCATTGTTACTAAAGGCAGAGCGGCTCATCATAGGATCAGGTAAATCACTGACACACTGATCATTTCTTTCATATCTGTGTTCATTTGACAGGTCTTAGCTGCTCAGTCTGTTAAAATGACAAATACATACGTGATCTGAACACTGACTGCAAAGTGGCAACGGAGCACAGATTCTGTTGATTCATAAAAAAGCTTTTAGCTCACGGCTACATTCTGTATGCCACAGAGAACGGAAGTAATGCCGCAGTCAGAGCACACTGACAGTTGGATTATTAAAGGATGAACATGCATTAGGCTGCAGATATACCCTAGTTCTACAGCAATACAATTATATACATGGGTAAGTGTTAAATTTGGCATATTCTATATATATCTATATATAACCTTTTTACTGAAATTATAACGTTTTTGTCTTTTATTCATGGACAATTGAGGAGGGAACACATAGAACTACACTTCAAGTTGTTAAGTCCAAAATGTTTGTAATTGAATGGTAGGATTCTTATATGTTGTCCACTGAAATTCCTTTTACTGTATATTATAATCTTTCACATTTTACTGTTTTAGAGAGGGGGGTATTGCTATGTTTTAATTTCTTTCTTTATACCCATGCTGCTGATCTGAAGAGCCACTAAACTGCTTTTTCTTTGTTGGTTAACAGCGACAATAAAGACCTCTTCAATCTTCAATCTAAAGTTTATTAGTAAACACAACAGCTTTCCAGATTGTTCCATATAACACCACTTATTTGTCTTCAGTGTTCTGACAGCTGTGATGATGGAGATCTACATAAAACTTGGTTTATGAACATCTGCTGAGGTTTTATACTCACAGCAGGAAGCGCAAAGAAGGCGACTCCAATCATGCTGAAGGTGGCAGCCAGCAACCGTCCATACCAGGTTTTAGGAACTTTATCACCATAACCAATGGTGGTCAGAGTGATCTGATGAAAGACAGTTCCATTTACTTTATATGAGGAAGATATGTGTTACTGTAGAAATACTGCAGGGTTTTGGTTTTTTTTTTCTTTTCTTTTTTTTACAAACATAAGTCTTACCAGTCCCCACCACAGAGCATCAGCGTAGGTTTCAAACTCGTCATTCAACTCCTTCTCTACCGAGTAGACCAGGAACGAGGCCAGGATCAGACAGAGGAAGCCGATGTACCAGGCTGTGATGAGCTCCTGAAGAAAAACACGTGCAGTAAGCAGAAGGAAACGGGTGATAAAATCTGCAGAGCATCACAGAGGGAGGATGTTCAGAGTTTCAGTTTGTTTTCGGTCTGTTGCTCCTCCTCCCACAATGTCAGTAATGAATTAGTGGCACCACTGCCAGAACTACATTACTGGCTGGATGATAGTAATAACACTATTAAATAAGTAAAAAAAAAAAAAAAAATATATATATATATATATATTTCCTTAATAATAATAAGAATTTATTTTTGTGTGTGTGACTTATTTGATTGAAGTAACATCAGGATCACCTTGCTGTGGGCATAAACCACAGACCCCAGCAGCTTCCAGGTGCCTCCACGTCTGTCCATTCGCAGCATGCGTAAGATCTGCAGGAATCTCAAACTCCTGATGGCCGAGGTGGCAAAGACGTTCCCCTGGGACCCAGCGGCCAGGACAGAAACTGAAGCGATCAGCACCATGATGTCTGCAGAGTGCGGCAGTAGAGGAGGCAGGCAGACATCGAAGATCAAATCAAAACAGAAAAACAACAATTGACAGTTATATTAAGTGCCGGGAGAAAGTTGTGGGAAATTGAGTTTACTCGGACAAAGTAGAGGAAATTGCCCCATCATATAAAATCATGTCTTTGTTATGATTTTCAGCAGGATGACAGAAAATAGAGCGGGTAGAATCACACACAAGATAAAACCATTTCCTCACCGATGACACAGAAAGGCTTTCTGGCAAACTTCAGCCTTCCCCTCCATCCTCTGTATCGACAGCAGCAGCCTGCAGACCATATCCTCACAATGTACTCCACCCCAAACACCACAATGGTCACAATTTCCTGTGAAATAAAACCAGTTGATGGGTTTTAACGCTCTGGCGTTGACATGCAGGTTTATGCAGTGTTGTAGATACTTACCAAGATGTACAAGGCACTCTCTGAGCTATTCTTGAACTCTTTGATGGTGGCAAAGACGGAGAGGATGAGACAGGAGAAAACCAACAGGAATCTGGAAAAGATGGAACAAGATGGAGAAGGTGCTGTGCTTTAGCATTTTTCTAATGTAAAACATGTGCCGTGGTTTAAATGAGATCCGTATTGTAAAGAACAATCCTGTTTAGAGGAAAGTTAACATCTGTTAATTATTCACAGTACAGAGTAAACGTAGGCAAATAAACAGGATGTAAAACATAGAAAACGTATTTGTTTTAGTCAAAGTATTGAAAATGCTGTTTAAATTGAGTTTTTGTTTCCAGCTCGGTACAGATCACAGACCTGTGTGGACATTTAGTGTACTGTACTTGTTCAGGAGGGTAAGTGTGGGTACAGTTAGGGACAGAATGAATAATTATAGCTGCAGACCAATGTGCTGCCTCCATCAGTGGAAATGAGCCAAACTGCAGCAGCAGCAGCACAGTCAGGACCAGTAAATGAGTCAATCTGGGTTTATATTGTATATTTTCATAGATGCCTGTAAGTACCTGTATACAGTGTACGGTTCCAACAGCTTAGATATGGACTGTAGGAGAGTTAAGAAGTGCACTTTTGGTCAACAACATACACCTGCGGTGATTTACTGAAGATGAACTAATGACTTCATTTTCAAATGTTTCAAAAATATTAGAAATTGAAAATATTCTGCTTGTAATCATCTTAAATTATACTGCATAAAAACTGTGCGTATTAGTCTGGGACAAAAGGAAGGAGAACAGAATCTGACGTCAGGATTCCTGGAAGAAATCCAGAGCAGAGCTCACGTCTGATGGAACCTTATACTGAGATGGTGTAATCCTGTATCTCTTCTATATCAGGTACTACACTTCGCCATACAATACGAGTAAAATGAAAAAAATTACAAACGTAGTGTGTCATGAGATACCAAATACATCTTGTGTGATAAAATGAGATGTTCCATCAGTTTGGCTTAAATAGGTCATTTCAGACAAGTTCCAAATCAGGTGACTCGAAATTAATCCAACTTTTCTCTTTTCTGCTGCACCACTTTGACTGTGATCTAGTTAAAATCTTGGAAGCAGCTGCTGGCTGTCAGCCAATTGCAGTGAAGCAGAACAGATCAATAGTGAGTTCCACTGATCTGACCAAAAACACGGACAAGCTAGGTTTTTGTCTTCATATTTTTACCATCCTTCATTAGATACAGCCCAGTTCCACCCCTATATATACATATATATATATAAAATTAAATAATAAAAATAATATTTGTACACACTACACTTTGTGTAGTGTGTACAAATACCAGACATTTTCTGGTTCATCCATATTAATGTCAAATATGTACAGAACGACTCAGCATTTTGTTTCACTTGAGCTTTTCATACATACAAAATCAACTCTTGAATCTTGGATGTTAAGATACTACAGAGTAAAACTCAGCTGAAAAGCTGAATACATTAAGGCTGTGGTTGGCTTCCGTCTGGCTGGACATCGCTCTTCTGGCTGGACTTTGCCAAACTCATGAGAACCCACTAATGAGGACACGTGTTGATATCGGAGGTGGACAGAAGCTGCTTCTAAAGCAATTAGCCTCAACTGCTAAACATTTAATCTTCCGGAATCAGGAGTTGCAGAGTGTAGCTAACAATTAGGACATTTCTGAGAATCATATTAATATTTCTTAATTCTACAGAGTAACAGTAACATGAGCACAGTCCAATAGATACATAAGGTAAGAAAATAAACCACAACCTACTTTAGCTATTTTCTAGTTTTAAAATGTATTTTAGCTGTTCTTAAATGTCTATAATGAACTCAAATGTTCCTGTAGATAAGTTGACTGGAGAAGTAATGAGAATGAAAACATTTGCAGGAGATTTTCTATATTTCCAAACCTGCTATATCTACCGACCTCAGCATCCAGAAAACCCCTCTGACACAGTTCGACCCTCTATGGCCCTAAACGCATCACACTCTGTCATGGCTGAGCAGCAGTTTGGCAGCAGCCAAGTGTCTCCTACTGAACTGTCCCTATTTGCCTCTGTTTCAGTCCCTGTATGACCGACTCAGCACAAAAGAAAAACTGCATCGTATCCATAGAACCTGCACCTGAATGACTTGCTCCTTATTCAGACACAGGATCAGAAATGACGAGGTTTCACGATGAAAGACTCTCAAAAATATTCTTTCTTTCTGTATCACTCCTGTTCTGGTGCAGCAGTGACACATCCTGTCATCTAACAACTGCTGAAGCTTTTAATTTCCGAGCACAGATGGCGGTTCCTGTAAGAGGACGCTCAGTAATGAGGCTCCTGCTGGAGCCAAATCACCACAGTCTGTATCTCTGTGCCTCTGTGTTAATGGAGGAAAACATCATCACTTAGTCCAGAGGTGGCACGCTGACAAAATGGCACTTTTTAAAATACATTTTATGACTCACCATTAGGGGAAAAACGGGGCCTTTGTGGTTCAGGAGCTGTTTTAATGGATTCCAAGAGATTTTATTTATTTTATTTTTTTAATTTTCTGATTACATCACCATTAGACCTCCCTGTTAAAACTAAATACAGAAAATATTTGTTGTCATTTCATGTCATCTTTAAATTACAATTTTGAATGGCCTTTAGTTTTGCTTAACTACATATTAGCAGTAGAAGTTTTCTTATATATCACGGAAAATACATTTATTTTGTGCTCACAGGATATGACAGGTTGTGTAATATGATGGAATATACGCAAAGCATTTTTAAATTACAATAAAATACTAATGTGGGTTCGAATTTTAAAACAACTTTCAGTTTCACTAATACGATATAAAACATTTTTGGACAATAGTTTAACACAGTTAAAGTTGACATTTTGAGTGGAAATCAATGCAGCTGCAGCTTGGTGCAGAGAGGGACGGCCTTAAGCTCACACAGCTGCATAACCCAGGAGCAGATGAGGCAGAGAAATCGAGATAGGACTGTAGAAAGTACTCTGGTATGTGAGGTACTGTACTATCATGTTCCCTGTATTGATCCTTCACACATGCCTTACAAAGATACTATGAAACCCAAAACCAACCTTCCATTTCTACACAATGGTGCATCTCCACAGGCAAACAGTCAGTGGTGTTTTTCTACCTCAGCCTAATGGAGACTCATTTCAGCAAACAACTTATTATTTTTTAAATTTAATGTCCGATTTTAGTACCAAACAAAAGACATTAAAACAACACAATAAAAGAACTTACACATTTTAAAATGGTCCAAGCGCTTGACCTTCAGAAGAAAAGTATCCAAAAATATATTTGAAGAGAGACACTGGCACAAGAGTTTGGAAACAACACAGGTGGAACCAATCAGAAATCAGAATTATACGCCTACGAAAACAGGAAGTAAAATAAAACAAGATGCAGCAAGTTAAAACTTCAAAATAAAAAAGAAAAGGCATCAAATTTGGGCTTGTCCAAAAATTCAGTTATTCTGAAGGGGGAGATGAACTACATACTGAGGGTGTAGTTAGATTATTCTTACTTTATTTCATACCTGGACAAAATACCAGAAACAGTATTGCACCACCATAAATACATATTTAAATATATTTAATATATATTTAATATTTTTTGGCATGTAGCAGGAAAAATATAATACCAAATATTTTGCAGTTTGATCCTCCAACTTCAAATGATTGGAACAGGACCATAAAAGACATCCACTGTGATGAGACTTTTTTTTTGAAGAATTTAATTACTAAACACTGGGGGAAATTAATTATTTGATGATTAGAATGTTATACCACGATGTATAGAAGAAAACATATTGTAACTTTACACTATAACCCATGAAAACCTTGTGTTTTTTTGTTTTTAAAATGTAAATACATTATTATAAAAAAGAAATAATTCTAAGAAATAATATAAAAGAAATAATTCAACAATCCAACCAGAAAATAGTTAAAAAGTTAAAAATAAAAAAGTAAAAAATAAAATAAAACAGACTACGAAATCAACCACAACATCATGATTGGCTAAAAACAACCAGGAACCTAACAGAGTAGGTTGGGCTTGACTCTAACTGTGAAGTGTCAGTAAGTCCAAAGAGAACATTTTAAAAGGACCCACAGATCCTTATATGTGTGTGTGTGTGTGTGTGTGTGGTTGCACCTACAGTAGCTCTAACACTCCAGTCAGGACAGAATATGCTGTGCACAGTGAATTCTTTAATGCTGTGGTCATTTCAACTGCTCACTATCAAACCATGCAGTATCACTGGAGGCATGGCTACAGGCCAAACAGCCGACTGCACTTCACCTCCTGCTTCTCTAAAGAGAAAAGCTGCTATTTGCAAATGGCTGAGACACGGATCAGAGCTGACGGATACCTTATAATCACGGTACCATTCTGGCTCACTCCTTTTTTCTTTCTTTTTTTTAAATCTGGGCCATAAAGTTTTGGTACAATGTTGCTCAGCTAAATGTAGTCCAAAAACTCCAGAATGGGCAGCGAGGGAAGATTTTAAAGGCACAGAGATTATTCATGTCTGAGATGGCACATGCTTTGAAAAGAATAAGATCTGGCTTTAACTGGATTCAACCAGCTGCACTGCATCTTTGCCAGAAGGTTCCCACATCTGCACAGTGTCTGGGATATTAATGACCTCCACTGTGGCAGGACACAAGCTTTGTCATCAATGTCCAACAGAATTCAAACAGCAGTACTGGTGATCTGCTGGACATATTGGAATATGATCCATATTATATCACGAGATACCAACACTTACACACACTGTGCCATTTATACACACACACACACACACACACACACACATATATATATATATATATACAGTATATAAATAGTTCTTTCTTTTGTTTTTTTCTACAACCACAAATACTGATATCTACACAGTGGTGCAGCATTTCAGATGGAATCATTACATGAATTCTCTCCACTGTCTGGTCACGGCCTGTAAGACTAGAACACACCCTTAGTCTACACACACACACACACAGAGAGAGAGAGAAGGAGAAACACAGACATCATGTATTAATGGTGATATTATTGAATGTGTGAGTCACACATATTCTGTGACAAATTCCTATAAACATGAATTGTTTCTCTCAGCTCCACACATCACACAAACACACACACACACAGAGAGAGAGAGAAAGAGAGAGGGAGAGAATTCACACTTTCTTCCATTACTGTTCTTTAAACTGCAATTGACTTCAGTTGATCTGTACAGTTTGTCCAAAAGCTCAATCCTAATATCACATCTAACCTGTACACCTATAGCTAACATTCCTCAACTGATCTTCACCAGAGCCTTGAAAATATACTTCGGAAAATCAGTAACACATGGGTTCACACATGCAGCTTCAAACATCTGCTGTAGGGAGTTTGTCTTTACTTTGAACAGCCGAACCAGAACCCTGTTTCACCAACACTATTCAAACAACAACACACACATGTCACTTACCTTAGCCAGAGTTCAGTAGGCCTACAGTACATACACGTTCAGACAGTGGTTTGCTTGGCTTTTATTGTTCATACGTTGCTTGAATCGACTGTTTTGGACAGCCCAAGAAAAACTTGACTGGAACCACTGACAATCAACGCGCTATTCTAAAGCATAGAACCTTAAATCTGGAGCACCTTAACTTTAGCCTCACCTATTGCTCAATGACAGCTTAAGACAATGGCAGCATACTCCCCTACCTTAACACTACCTCAGCTCTACTCAGAACCACACTGAGGAGGACCAGGTCTCAGTCCAGGTCAAGTCTATTTATCAGTCCTGACAGTGTTAACGAGTGGGAACAATTTAGAAGAACAAAGAATGCATCCACACATACACAGTGTGCAGGAGTGTACGGTGTATCTGAGGGAGCAGAGCGGGACTGCAGCGATAATTAGTTAAAATCAGATAAAACTGATGCAGCGCGGTGCTGTCCACGGTGCTGAAACCTACTACTGTCGCTGCAACATTAGGTCCAAATATGAGTCTGCAGGAGCTGGACACGTGTCAGACAGTGGACAGTGGGGAATTCCGATGTCGTCATATTCAATAGTGACAGCGACATGACACATACGTGAGTCGTATGAGATGATGTGATGTGATGTGATATGAGAGTTAGAGCAGGAGGAAGAGTCTGCCATGAAGCACAATGGTGCTGTATCAGTTTGGCATGAAGACAACACTTAACCCTTTACTGCGTAACCTGGACATGACCACCAGCCGCCAAAGTCTAGCACCCCAAAACCCCTGACTCACTACAGCAGCGCTGCCAGTCAACGTGGAAAAGGCCACAACATTCAACACGCTGTGACTCAGCTGGGACAGGACTTACACATAAGCATGGTATACGAACGCCCATCCCCGCGGTCTCTCCAGCGCATTGTAGAGGAAATTCTGCAGTTTCCGATAACTGGCATTCTTCTTGGAGGGTCTCGGTCTTCCAGCGGAGATGCTAGACCTGGGTCTGCAGAGGATGCTGCTCCGCTTGGTGTTTTCCGAGCCCGCAATCAGCAGCGCCCCGTCTCTGCTGGATTCCGGAGCGCCGGGGTCCAGTCCAACAAAGCCGACTTTGTGCTTCTTCTCTCCGGCTTGAGTTGGGTAAACCCCGCCGTTGAGAGATTTCTGCACCATTCTAAAGTCGAGACGACTCTCAGGAGGAGTGGTCCGTGCCCTTGCCGCCGCCGGGACGCATCACCGGCGCTGAGGGGTGTGTGCTGCTGCTGGTGGATGCAGTCCGTGTCGGTCCCCTGCATACAACACCAACAATGCAATATCAGGCAGAAAGTGCTCACTGGATGCTTTTACATCAGCTCCTTCCGGCCACTTGACACAGACGCCAAAGGAAGTCCATGCAGACTAATTCAATCCAGTTTCATCCTCACTGGCAAACCGAAGATTAGATGTTATTTCATTGTCTGTCTCGAATGACTTACACAGTACATACATCATCTGCTGCCATACCCTGCCTGGTTAAATTAGACCTGTCAATAGTGACGTGAATTATTTATTAGCAGCTACAGATTATTGCGCTTTGGAAAAAATAAGGACTTCCTGTTTGTTACAGAAGTACCCTGAGATAACCTTTCATTCTCCCCACTCAGTCTTCACCTGGCCCCAGGAGGGAAGCTGAGGGAGAGCATTGAATGTATGTCCATGCAATATTCATACATGCTGCCTCTTGTCCTCCAGTCTGACATGAGGGACAGTGAAAAGTAGCTATGTCATGGAGTGTCTATAAGAATGGAGAATATCTTACAATGGTGTTGAAAATATTTTTAAATTTATGAAACATTAATTAATGTATTGATATTTTAATAATAAAATATATGATAAAATATATATTATATAATATAATAATAAAATTATCTAAGTGAAGGGAAGGATATATTTTTATTCCTGGTACAATTGAAATCATGATTTTGGACACGAACACATGGAGACATGATGGATGGTTTGATTAAAAACATCTAAGAATGGAGTAGATTCTTCCAACCCCATGTCCAGGTGTTATGTATAGACTAGATGACAGTGGAGGCTGATTGTCTTTATGGCAGTAAATCAGTGAACAACAGGTGTTTTCCCTCCCATTTCAGTTTTAATCCTACCCTATTCCTGTGAATTCCATCTTATGGAATTTCCACTGCAGGAGCTAACACTCCTGTTGGTGTGGAGTGACTATATTCTATATAACTGACTGACTGTTAGAGGAAGTAATTTAGCACCATGATTAGAGCGGACTGGTGTATAAGGAATGATAAAAAGAAAAGGAAGGAAAGCCAGGAGGAATTCAAGGGAAAAAATAAAATAAAAGAGAGACTAGGAAAGGAAGGAAAAAGAAGAATTAAATGACAAATAAGAATTGAAGAGGAAGAGAAGTTGAAATAAATACTGTACAAATACTATAGAAAACAAAACAGTGAAGAAATGAATAAATAAAAATTCATGTAAACCACTGTTTGTTTGTCTGACTGACCCTGTTGTAATACAACGCAGACTGAAACCACAACAGTGTAGATTCAAATGCCCCAGTGCAGATCAGTTTGCATCAATCTGGAGCACGTGGAAGATGAGAACTGTAAATAATTTTGATCTGTTTGAATGTGAACTCCATCACAGTATGATGAAGGATGAAGAATGAGATAATGTGAAGGAAACAGGCAGAAATAAGACTTCAGTCAGACACTGGCAGGACAAACAGGCTGTAATTCTGTGAAGATTTTATTTACTAGTTTGTTAAATTGACATTTACAAGAATCATGTTTTAGAAAGAGTCCACAAAATACCTCTGTACAGTTATTTTCAAGCATCCTAGAATGGCAAATGAAGTATGTACAAAAACGAAACATTAGAATAATGTCAATAAAAGTGTAATCGGTGACAGATTTTCTCATCAGGCTACACACACATGCTGCAGTCTTCAGTTAATGATGTGTTTATATTATTTACAAGAACACATTTTGGCGAAGGGGGAAATGTTTTTCTAAACCAACCACTGGAGGGCGTTTTCATTCTTGTGACCGTGCTACTGTCTATCTTTGCAAGCTTGTTTGGAACCAGACCACTTTATAATAAATAATGCGGACAGAGTGATCTGACTAATGAATGCAGCATGTCCACATGTACGTCAGTGAGGTTATACTCAACAACAACGGCAGACAGAAAACTCAAAGACAAAGTCTACACAATTTCTCATATACTATATTATTTCTCATAAAAATAATGCACTTTAATTACGAAGCATCACTCTGCTGCTTTAAAACACAACCTAATAAATCGCTCTGACATAGTTACACTTTGTATGTACAAAAACAAAAATAAAATATTTGTTATTAAATGGGAACAAGGCCTGGGTCAATCCCTTTTTCACAACGTCCTTGGGCTGCTGACAGTACTCAACTGTTTTTCATTTTTGAAACTACACTTGTCATCATTGTATGTTTTAAGACTAAACACAGTACATACAAGCTGATAAAGCCAATCTAAAAGTCAACACAACATCTCGGTTCAGTGAAGGTGAAGTGAATTAATATATTAATAATTTAAGAATGATTCCACCTGTCTGTTCTAGCTCCTCCCTCCCTCCCTCGGTTCATTCCTTTGTGTTTTCCCTGAATGTTTCCTGAAGAAATTCCACACATAAATAAAATGAAGTTACAAGAACAGTTAAAAATATAACATCATGCTGTTGGTCCTTTAAATACTACTTGATATTAGACCTGGAATGCATTTAGATTCTTTTAATACCTGATATAGAATAAGTGAGGGATAGAACAAACTAACAAACAACAACAACAACAAAAAAAAACACTTTATCCAGACATAATAAATTACTATCCTTCATATAGTGCAGTAATACAGTACGTGCACTAAACCTACAGTATTTGCACAATAACCACATGCAGGGGGCTGATGACGAACAGCCCCGTCGACCACCTGCCCTTCTCCCTTCCTCCCTCTACATCCCTACTTTCTTCACTCTGTCTCTTCTTTGCATTTATTCAGTCAATTATCACACAGAAATACTGCTGTAAATCATGCTTGTACTTCACTTGTATTCCAATAACTGAGCCCTGGGGAACACCATCTCTGTGGCCCTGCGGACCAGGGCGTCAAAAAATGGATCATGTGACCTACATGCAGTTTGGTTAAATCTGTGAAGATGTTCAGTTTAAGGACAAGATGTTTGGGTCTTTTTCATCTCAACTGCTTCTACTGGGACTGTGTTCTTCACTGTACATCGGTACACAACCCGTCTCCAGCTTCAGTCTGTGTCAGTGTCTGTGTAAATAACTGACAACATCCTTGATCATCCTTTGAAGACTAGTGGTTTCCCTGTTGGAGTGATCTGTGTGTAACTGGGGCAGTGGAAGTTCAAATGTCTTTTATTCAGCATCATCTCTGAGAAGAAAAAAAATCTGTCCACACTTGCCCCCATTTTGCTTCAGTCGACCATCTTTGCAGCTTCCTCTTCCACAATCTTGCTTTTCCTACATTTCCCCATCAGACGGAGGCAGACACAGTTTAAAGAGCCTGTTGGAGAAAACGGTTTAAAACATCAGTTTGGAACGGACTTAAAGAAGTTGAAGTTACAGGCAGAAAGTGTTTCCCCTGAAAGTGTACTGTACCTGGGAGCGGATGGAGGCATCTGGTCCATTACTTTGAGGTTTTTAGCAGAGAGCTCAACTCTCGCCCCCTGGTGGAAGAAAGAACATGTGGTTTCATTTGAACAGTGATCAAACTGTACTTGACTTATCCACCCTGGATGTAAAAAATGACTGAGGCGTGTGGAAGGATTCTACACTAACACTGATGTCAATGTTCCTGATTTTATTAAATATCCTGGACAAAAACATAGCATCTACTCCTAATATTAATATATTTCAAAACAGACCAATACTAGACTCTAGTCTTTAATAAAGGAACCTGTGATTTACCTGTTTCCGCATGATGTCCATAGTCTGCATGATGCAGCGAGGCAGGAGACCGTGGTTCCTGGCTAAGATCATGGCCTGCTCCAGTGTCACACTCAGAGTACATCTGGGGCGAGGGAGAAAGGAGGTCGATCATTGACAATTTGTCTCTCAGGAGACAAAATTACAAGTCTGGATGTCTCCTTTTAACACAGCCAAGCTGTTCAAAAAGTCTTTATTCCCAGTGAACATTTTAGGAATATTGTAGTAATTCAGACCAAGACTGGGACTGAACTCATGAAGTCATGTCAAACTTCATCAGCAGATTTGGGACAAAACTACAGACTAAAAACTGGATTCAGATGGACACTGACCAGTCTGACAACCTCTGCTGTGACACCGTAGACTAAAACTGGAACACCACAGACTCCAGACTAGACTTAGTGATACAGGTGGTCCTCGACTTCTGTTGGAATTCCGTTACTACGGCGCATCGTAACTTAGTTTCTGCCATAAGTCGTAACTCACATGCTGTACACACCTTTGAGTGTGTGTGTGTGTGTGGTGAGACACTGACCTCTGCATGCCTGTGCCACACATGGTGATATGACAGGCTCCCAGGCGGTTACACAGCTCAGAGGACACACTCAGGACACTGACACCTGATGGGTGGCCCTGAGCGTTTGTCCGCACGTTGATGTATGACTGCATGAGTCGACAGAGGTCGTCCAGGGTGTTGAGGGGTCGCAGCAACTGGTGATGAGATCAAGTGAATGTTGAAGAGAGATGACTAAAGATGGTGACAAAGCCTCGCCTGAACTGAACTGTCACACAGGTGCTCACCTCAACAAATCCATCAGATTATTATTATTATTTTAATGGGTTGAATTTCTCAATGGTTTTGATCAAAAATGCAGAAAAGGCAAAATTCCAAAATTGAATTAACTCAGAACAATGACTACGTAAGGGATTTGTTCAGATGTTGCACCAGCAGACCAAGAAAAAGTACATTCAAAAATCACCACAACAGGTCACTTCAAAGAAGAAAACAGTTAAGACCCAACAATCGTTCCACAACATTAAAAGCTCTTCCTGCTTTAATGTTGTGGATCATCACTGCAAAACCAAACTGTGATCTATTCATAATCATCGTCGTCTATTTCACTACATGGAGTTTGAGCCACTACAGTTGTCGTTCTACTTTCAGCTATTCTTTACTGACGTTCAGTTTCTACTGTGTGAATGTGGAGTTAGTGGGAGTTAAAGCTGATGAGCTGACAGGAGCAGGACAACATTCTTCTTACTTTGGCAACGCTTGGTTGGAGGTCTCTAACTTCAAGTCCCAGTATCTGTGCTTGCATTTATATTCAGTCACAACATTATACACAGATGTACTCAATACAAACGAACATAGTACTGTATACTACGTAACCAGTTATGCCATACATGGTGACAGTATGTACATGTAGATCAGAACTAGTGGATATTTACCTGGTCAATCTTCATTGCCGTGGTGTTTGAGTCTGTGGGCAGGTTGGACTTCTCCAAATAAAACGCCCTGTTGGAACAAATACAACAATGGTTTCATTTGAAATTTAGAAATTAACATTGTGACCTAGAAATGAAGACAGTTTTCATTCATTATCAACATGAAGGCTGCGCTGCACTATAGCACCTCCTACCTGAGTCTGCGGTAGTAGGCCTTGACTTTCTCCAGTGAGACAGCATTGGTGCGCTGCTGGAACTCCTCCATGGTAGTACAGTCCTGCTGGGACACTCCCTCTGGACGCTCCAGTGCTGTAGGGAACAGGTGAGAGGAGGTCAGGCCAACAGGGTTGGGAACACATATTTCAG